CCTCTTCTTGCTCACACAATTCATCTCCATACACCTTTCATTATGCGTAGCCTCCCATAAGATCCATCTCCCCCCCCACATACTCACTCGTTCTTGTTCCCAACAACGATCCCCCTCAAGAAAAGCTTGACCGTCTCGACACTCGCTTTCATGTTCTTGATATTATTGAAACATGAAAATCTATATCTAGTCCAATCTTTAGCCCCGTATGATGTTGAGTGAGGATGAGACAAGTAGTGAGAAAGGTGACGATAGCCATGAATGTCAAGACAGCGAAAAGTAAGCTGACAACATCAGGAAGCCAGTATCTCCCCATATGCTAGAATCGTATGAGACTAGACTAATTAGTTTGATTGGCCTCGAAATTTGTATCGTTGTTGATTTGCAAACGATTTATGTGTCGTCATCTGAGGTTGAGATGATGGCTATCTAAGGATCAGTCTTTCGTCGATACTTTGAGATCTCAAGAGATACAGGCTCAATATCAAGAGATATCTTAGAATGTTCATAGCATATCTTAAGTTATCATTTTCACAAGTCTTCAATCATACCATTTCTCTAGGAGGGTATTTTCACTATTATGCACGAGCCGCCGGGGGCCACAAGACAATCGAACAGAGAAAGAAGTAAATTGTCAGAATTCAGAGCACGTGGGGGCGGACCATCATTGATTAGCGCTTTGAATGCTTGCTCAGCCGCCACGTTACAGCCTGCAGGACGGGGAGCGGGCGCATATATGAACAAACCTATCAACTTATCTCCCAAACGCCACCTCCGCTCGCTAGTAGTAAGTGCAGACGGGTTTTCGACCTGACTAAGTAAACATAATGATGCCTTATTAGGGGGGGATAGGTAGAATACGGCATATTAAGCCCTCACGGTGACCGAAATGTAGCGTCTGGTTATCTTCTACAACATCAATATTCATTCGCTTTTCCGACAGTGTAAGTAGGCAGGCTGAGGGCCACACCTGCTGTGCCACACATGGCATATCTAACCCACCTACTGCAAAGGAGCCTATCAAGTCTTCCTTAAGTTTACTATCCTCTTGATTTTCTGTTTAGTTTAATATTTATATTAAACTTCTTTGGAAGTAGAGTACTACTAAGTTTGATCCGGTTACTCCCGATGTTATGATGTTTCTCGTTTCATTTCAATGCAGCTGGTAGATCTGATGCTTATCATAATCGAATGTTCACTAGGTGGCCAGACACGACCATGAAGAGAGCAAGGATTAGAGACGCGGCCTATTGAGTAGCCTGCTGTTCTGTCATTGGGTAGGTATTAGAGGCATTCGCCATTTTTCATATTTGACTGCATGCATGAGACCTGCATTGACCAGTGTCAGGTTGCCAGATATACACCGAAATCTCTCCCCAGCACTGCCGTCCTAGAATGTCTTTGATACCAATCAAATGTGCGCTAGATAATATCACATAACCTTTTACCTGAATGCTGGAATATCATCAATATCTTGATCGATATTACAACCTACCAGAGATACCGACTTCATTTAGCCTTCGCCTTTATTTGCAATGCATATTATTGCTTTCCCTTCGTCTTAACTGAGGAAAATTGAATCATAGATCCCACGTTACGGCAGTAGGTTATTGTATGGGGACGTTAGGGTGGCAAAGATCGTGGTGTGGAAGTCGCGGAATCGCACCGTCGTTTATTCCATTCAATCTACTATGTCAATATTATCCTACATTTTCTTGAAGCCACTAACAAAAAATAGAATTATATAAACCCGGGGAAGGTAGCCGTACCGAGAGAACGGCAAGATTATAAACGAATGTTTGTCGACAAATTGTGCTCGAAGATATCTGAGACAGCCATGGATTGTCCAAATTAACAATGGCGCACCTCTATGATAAGTTGAGGTGTCTGATAGTCCCATTCATGCCCCAAATCTTTCGTGAACCTTCGGCCGCGCGTGGTTCTGATTGGATGTCTTGCTGATAATATAGGAGCCTGATAATTGACAAGGGCGCGTTGATTGACTCGCTCAATCGAATTATATAGAGTCTCCTTTCTGGGAATCCACTTGCGGACAACATTCTTGAAATAAGCCTGAGGAACTCCTAGAGAGATCGCATCTCGGATACCACGGTTCATCTGGCTTACGAAATGATCACAAGCCTGACCATTCAGGACGAAGCTCTGGCTGAAATACACCAGAACGTCGGCCTGACCATATTGCTCAATATTTCGTATCGAGTATCGGAATCTCTTGATTACTTGCTTCGGACCTCCGTCTCTAACCAAATCTCGAGTGAATCCCTGTAACTCTGGTACTTCGTAGAGATTGACACGTTTGTATTCTCTGGTGTAAGACCCGTGGTTTGTACGTTCGCTTCTATCGAGACGGACTTGGTCGTTGGCGGTGATCTCAAAAACTAGGCCGTGGACTGTTGATCCGCTATGAGGCGCTATGTTTGCGACTCCCTTTCGGTCAATGTACCAACAATGGTCCGGTAAAACTGCGCGCCCTACGTAGACGCTCTCTGGGCACCGACTGGCCATATGTTCCAGCCAAAGGTTATTGCCATAGGCGAAGTACAGCCTTGTTAAAGGGACTGGTGCACGGAATGGGTTATACATGCTGGAGTTCGACGAGAGTATTTTGAGTGAGGAATGGGAGGATGATAAAAAATTGTGGACTGAAAACGATGATTATCATGGAAGAGTAGGGGCATCCTATGGTCTTTAAGGCCAGATCGGTGAACGGCTTTAGGGGCTATGTTATGCATGCTTTAAGATCTTGAGTTCATGCGCAGCCTCAAGGCTGTGAATGTCGTCAGGATACTAGAAAGATTACTTCAGCTCTGCATCGTAGCATCGGGTACGCCGCGCGACTAACGTAGGCGCTTAACCATTGATCTCAAAGGCCTATCAAATTAGAAACCCTTGAGACATCAAACTGCACTTTTAGGTCTCACCTTCTGTTTCTCGTCGAGACAAGCGGTAAAAAAAGTAAAATACCGCGATACATTTCAAGGGACTTTAGTGGGTGTTTCTATGATGCGAAAACTAAATTATCAGGCGTTCATGTCTTGTCGACAGTCAACGTCGCGCGGCCCACAAGGCAAACCCTGCATGCAGCCAAGACAGGGACTTCGGGATGTAAGTATCATTAATTTCGTGTAAGAGCAGCGGTTCGGTTTGTTTGCTCGTACCTCCCCTTGTCGAGTTGCCAGCTGGTTTGCGAGTGAAAAATCATGCAGCGCACTAGCTCTTACGAGGACGGTAGGGATCGTGAGTAGCTGACAATCATTTAAACCAATTGATCAGGGCTCTATACCTTTGTTTGTTTGTTTCTTGTCATCGTCACTCTGGTAAAGTTACGGGCACAACTTGCAAGACACAGCCTACTAAGATACCTGTTTTTATTGTATTTCGTCAACGCGGCTGATGACGTGCAGCTGAATATCTTAAGCGCATGTAGGAGTACGACTGAAATGGGCACTTAGGGCCAGGAAGATGGTTCAAGAGATGTAGGATCCAGAGAAAAGGACTGGACATGACCGAAGGTAGGCAAGAAAATGCTTGCGAATAGCGGCTCGAGCGAAGCCCCACAAGAATAGGAACAGCGGCATTGGAGTATTTGGATACCGGCCGACAAACCGTGAACGAAGTTATGCAGAACAAATTGGGGGCAAATCAGTGGACATGATGGGTCTCTATCTACGATGGTACTCACCAACCAGAACCAATTGGAGGCGTGGAATTCTAAATGCGGCTCAAGAGGCGGACGGAGAGAATGATGACCCTGTGGCTTGTAGGCGAACAGTAGGTATCTGTACCTTACATCCAACAACACTATGTATGAAGGCACCGCTAGAAAAGTTAGCAAAGAGTGAGCGTCTGCTTTATTTTTAGCTGTAATTTCTACTGCTAGAAGTGAAGAAAGCGATTAGATCAATGTGGCTTGGGTGTACAGTCGGACCCCGACGAGATCTGGTTGCGTATTACTGCTTGGCACTTCAGCGGGAACCTACATGCTGCCGATCGGCGATCTAATACATAACAGCATCGGCAACTAAGTTGTGCTTATTATGATTGATTTGGGCGGAATACCGGCGGGACACAAATCCATATATGGTCAGAGCGCGCGGAACACGGTGATAATTTACTGTTTGGACTTGGTTCCCTGATGTCTGCTCTTTCAAATTGGAATGCGGCGTAGGAGGCAGATCTTTATTCCCAAACTTCTTTGTGGTTAACCCCGCGTACCTCAGATCTTCACAGAACTTATATCAGGTATACCAAGCTCTGCTATTGAAACTTCCCGAGAGCCTCTATCCTGTTGCCACGTCACGATACAGAGAAAGCTGTCTTAATAAGCAATTTTTAGGAGGGTCGCTGTAACTTTGGGGTATCTAACCATACTTAATACATGTCAGCTTTATTGTTTAGAGACTTCCTAGCCATTAACCGCAGCTTATTCAGCAAGACAGCCGTATGAAACTATAGCGGATAAAAACAGGAGATGCTATTCGATAATGCAAGCTATAGAATCTCATGTTAAATTAATTAGGGATACGAATGCCCTCGATGCATAGCACTAAACATAAGGCGACACATAATCACTAATCAAAACTTCTCCCACGGGCTTGAGGCTCTGCATACAAATTAGGCAACATATCCAGATATAATTGATTATGCCGTTTCTCCGCCGTCTCCGTATTATGCTTGCCTTGAAACTCCGAGTACGTAAACCGTGATGCATCCTTGTAGCCCAACGTGCTTTTTCCGTTCTAATTTCTCACTTATACGTGCCATATCCTATATGTTAACCTTAATGCATCTTGGTCGCATCAATCATACAACTAGACATGGTAAGCCAACGCTAGAACTAGTATGGAAACAAATAGGGGCTTATTGATTAGCAGGTTAATAAGTGAGTAGTTAATTCCAAACCGCTGGGGATTGATTCCGAGACTCCGCATCTTGTTGAGATACGAGCAGTGGCGATGCGAACAGTCACGAGATCAATTGCCTCTATGGCGTAGTGGTAGCGCGTGTCACTTGTATCGCAAGATATGACAAGGTCTCTCGTTCGATCCGGGATGGAGGCAATATTTATTTTACAATTGACTACAAGTTTTTTTTTACTAATTAATCTAGGTATAATGTCTCACTAGCTTAGGTCTAGGCAATGATCGATACACAAAGTACATAATCTTACAGGGAAAATTGAAAGGGAGTCTATTAGAAAATAAATGGTTAAATAGTAGACCTCTTCGTATGTGCTAAATCTTCTAATTATCGCTTATGTCATTATTTCAGGCATGAGCGACTCTACTATAAGTAGGAGAAGAGTTCCCAATGAGAACGCAAGACCAAGCAATGGTGATGACATGGAATCGTAGAATATATCATGGAAGATAACGCGAAAGTGCCCGGGTAGCAAACAAGGCGTGACATATTTACAATTTGGCTTCATCACGAATCCGTGTATACGCGTAGTGCCATCCTTCGGCTTGCACTATGAAAAGTTAAGTTAGCCGTTGACTATGCGAAAGTGCCTAGTTCGTGGGTGGGGATATATCCAACGGGCGAATTATGGGAAGTAGGTTCAGGAAAGAATCATTGAGTTATTTGCTAGGGTGAAAAACTTACTATCTTCCCGGACTTTGTAGTTTTCCTCTGCCACTCTTAGCACATCCATATCTAGGTCGACAATCGACATGCCCTCGGTGCGGCCTAATCGTCCCATAACCCCTATATGTGGCACAGCGACTTGGCTCAAGCCCGCAAAGCTCGTTGCTTCTCCCTTTTCGGGTGGGCCGCCAGCGTTAACAAGTATGACGGCGCATGTGTTCTCGAATGCACGAGCTACAACTGTGTTATTTAGAAACAATGCCTCACCGTCGGGGTTCAAAGCATAGCCTTCGTCGGATACATCGCGCATACTCCAGAATGTTGGCACGCAGATAATTTGTGCACCATCGGCAATGAGCTCCCTAAAAGCTTCTGGAAAGGCCAGATCCCAGCATATAAGTAAGCCAACACGTCCGAGGGGTGTATCAAAAGCCGTATGGGGTTCGTGAGCTGATGATACAAGGTGTCGACGCTCTGGATGCCATAGGTTCTTCTTTTGGTACCGTCCCGCAATCTCGCCGTCCGACGAGATGAAGTAGGCAATATTTTGCAGGGAGTCGCCGTGTGGCTCAATAATGGTTCCAGGAACAATGCAGATATTCAGCTCTTTTGCCAGATCTCGATATTTCTTCAGGTATAGATGAGAATCCGCGCATGAATCCTTGAACCCCGGTTCATCAGGGGCCCATGAGGTCAGATGGTACTCAGGCAATACAGCTAGATGGCACCCCTGAGCAGCCGATTCTCGTATAAAAGATTCAGCCTTTTCGAAGTTTTGAGTGGGCAATAACGGCTAGATGAATCGTTAGTATGATATCGTTGAGCGTATAGTTGTAAGTTCTCGAAGATGTATGAACTGTGGGGTGCTAGAATGCGGCTCAAAGTCGCCCGCCGCTCATTTGATGAGAGGAAGTATCTGGGATACCCCTGGTGCTTCTAATGTAGCCAAGACTTTGAAACTCATAAGTGTCGATACGCACTTACCTTGGGGTGAAGTTGGATTACAGCGATCTTATGATTGGGTGCCATCCTGAAACGTAGACTTGAAGAGACTTGGTATTCGTCATTGTAGTAGTTCCAAAGTTATGGCGGGGTAGAGCGACCTCCATTAAAGTATTCCCGGTATCCTACATATATCTCTTAGATAAATATCGTTATATCGCAGTTTTCGAATAGTAAGTCTTCGGTTCTCCTTCATACGTTTCCTAAAACATATAGTTGCCTATATATGACATATCACTATGTAGTACTAGAGGACTTGTTGTAAATCATTCATGGCCCAGGCCATAGTTGAGGTAATTTTAGTGATCAGATGAGGGTAAAACTATTAAATGATATGTCTCATCAGGACAACAACTACGACTATCGGAGTTGGAGTTCAAGGCTTTCAACAAATATCAGCAGCAACTCGAAGGACATAGAACAGCATCCTACTATTACATACCGTCAGTGACATTCTCATATTATACCATCGCAGCGAATTATTACTAGGTATAGTAGCACGTTGAAGGTAATGATCGATCTCTAGATTATCTAGACTGGCCATTGGATGAAGTTAATCAACTCACTGGTAGTCCGCTTCAGGGAGTTCACTTCCACTATACGACCGCTCATCATAATATCGACCCCATACTGAGCTAACTAGATAACTCGTTTACGCTTGCCACCGATCACTTCCTCCCTGTCAAACCAACTGTCATATTTCCATAGTGGTACGCAACGTAGTTACTGTAGAAGAACGGTTGTCCAAGAATGCAGCCAGACGGCCTGCCCTGAAGCCGTGAGCCGCAAACACCATTTGTCGGGGTATTCGGAAAATAGGTGTTTGCAGCGGCTACAGTATATTTGACACCTCCGATGGTAACCAAGAAGTTGGGTACGGTTCCGCTGTTAGAACAGGGGAACGTCCATTTTTGGCCATCTGTGGTGGTTGCAGTACTGACCTGATTCCAGAAGGCGTACGCGATAGATGATGGAACATAAATATCCGTGGTCCCGCTGTCGATATTACAATCCATTGATGTATCGTTGGCTGGAATATTGAAACTAGTTATCTTCGGATACCACAGAGATGAAGAGTCAGTAGTTGGATTGAAAGCTAGTGGGCCGTTCTCATGAGTCGTGTCGTCGTATCCAAATGTGTAAATGGCTGAACCGGTTGGTGGCATGTTAACTGCGAAAAGCGGCTGTTTGTACAGGGGCATGGCGTTGGCCATCCAAGTGGGGTAGCCGCCGAGTTGAGTTGAGCTCTTCGCAAGCCCTAGTATACCATCGTAATTATTGTAGGCCGAATTCCATGACGTCGCGACTCCGTAGCGTTGGTTCAGGACAGTTGACCCTGCTATGGATACAGTGCCGCTAGTAACATTTCCGCTAACTGTTCCACTGCCATAGGTCACAGAAAATCCTGGACCTGAAACGGCCGTGTTATTGTTCTTGATCCATCTAGTGTATCATACAACTTAGTCTAGAGCATGGATTATTTAAGGTAGTTCATACTTACAGCGCATTGGAACCGGTGTCGTAAAGAACTGAGTAAGTGACGCCATCAATAACGACGGGCCCAAAATATTCGCCTGATCTCGGTGTAGCTGTAGCAGAACCAGTCAAGGTAGGTGTGGCACGCTCAAGGACGCGATCAGGTTGAACAACCTGAATACCAGCGAACGGTTTAGCTGACACAGGCAGCGCGAGTAAAGCCATGATAGAGATGAAAACCGTAGATAGTGCCATCATTGATTAAGATGTCTCGTGACGTGAGTTTAGATCTGAAGTGATGTGATGTTGTATGATAATATCGATATTATGAACCGATAAATGGGAAGCTGGCCGATATTTATAACATTTAGTTTCCCTCCATCTCATGAAGTCTGCTGTCCACCATCTTCCGCAGTCTTCTGAATTTCCTGATCCGGATATTGAGACAGCTGCATCAGCCATCATCGAGATTCCTGTTTTTCAGCTTCCATCAGTCGACTTGGTAGCGGATTAGGGCGTGCCAATAGACAGCTATCTGGCATAAGGTTGGCAGTTTCCAGCTCAGAACTGAAAAGCCCAAACGCCCATGTGAGCCCACTATCACCGAACTAGAGCTGCAGCACAAATCATGATACAACCACAAGGTAGAACGTTGTCAAGTCGAGCGTTGGATCGTCACTAGCTATTATACAGATACCATAATAATTACCCGTAGACCCTGAAGTAGAGTTGACAGAAGTTTCGGGCCGCTATAAATTCCTCGTTCGATATAGCTTTAAGAACCGGTAATGATAATTTTGGATTAAAGCTGGAGGTTTTAAAACCTAAAGTAATACATTTATTCATGACATAAATTTAGTTCGTTATCAGCCCAGCCTAAAGGAACCCCTTTGCTCTTAGCGGGTCTATAGGGACCTAGATCTATACGCTAACCGTTAACTAGTAACCCTAGCTAATGTGGAAACGCCTTTTAGTCGCAGATGAGACTCAGAGTGTAAGCTCGCTGTCGAAGAAGCTCCGTTCACAGCCCAATTATTAGTCAAAAATCGACTGTATTGTCAGATGAAAATGCGAAGATAATATGAAATGATGACAGTTATTCATCACCTTCTTGAAAGCTATGGTTCGCGCTACAAGACAAGTTCATCAACCCCTCGCTCCTCACCAGTAGTTACCCGGCGGTGGCGTTGCCTAATGACTCCGCTCAGCTCTCCTTGAGCTAAACGCGCCTGCCCTTTTCAGTCCCATTTCGGCGACGCCGTATAGAAATAGGAGGCTAAGGAAACTAGTTCAGCCATTTTGAATTCAGTGCTCGCGAACTACTTTCACACTTCATCATTATAGATCTACTCAAAAGACACACACGACTCTATAAATCTAAACGGTATGATATGAGTTTGCATCAATCTCGCTCTCTTTGATTCAGCTTCTTATCCCATTCGAGCTGTCACTTTAGAGGCGGGGAGCTGGTGGTATGTGCTTCTCCTAGGCTACAAGGAAACGAATCTGCTGGCAGGCACTCACAAGCTTAGTAGCTTTAATGCTCGGAAATTCTACGCCCTTGACGTTGGCCCCTATCATGTAGACATCCGGTTCCAAGTGGATTTCCGGGTTTCAGGGGGAAAAGAAATTTGGGAAGACACAAAGGATATTTGGGCAGGTGTCATGGACGAGAACTACAGCACTAAACCACGCCACTATTAAAACATAAACATCGTTAAGTCGAGCGACTTAGCCGTCTACAGCTATTATATATGTACCGTAACAGTAGGCTAACATGTAGAACTAGCTGGATGATTTCATAATCATGATGACATTTGGTGACAGACCAGAGGTTCTAGGTTCAGGAAGTTATGACTGCTTGCGGGTTCAACCTTTACTATTGATCCAACCTTATTAATTCGACCCTTTGATGTATCTTTTCACGTTCTTAGTCGGACTAGAGAATATTATGCACTTTTGATGATCAACCCCTTTCCATGTCATCGGTGTGAAA